TAGGCCGACCTACCGCCCAATTCGAGCGCGTGGCAAGATGTGCGCATAGCAATATCGATCGCCGGGCGGTCACATCTTGCCACGCGCTCGAATTGGGCGGTAGGTCGGCCTAAGACAACGATTTTTAATAATTAATTACTCGTTAACTATTATGAAAATTGCAAAATGGTACAGGACTTTTCCGTTCATCTCGATCCGTTCTACTTTCTCAAAAATTTTGTCGGATATGGAAAGACTCACCCTGTATAACGAAGCATTAAATGCAGAATTGGCAAGTTATCTTTTTTTTAGCTAAGTTAAGTTAAAGTTAACAGGCTTGAAAATTTAACTTATTGTTAAGATACAAGTTAATCCGTAATACGATTAATTGAATTAAAAGCTAAGTTAATAATAAAAAAATTAAAAAGTTAAAAGTTAAATATTTTATTTTCACATAAAATCTCAAAGACTTACGATGACGTAAATTGCATTGCATTTTGCGACTAGCGTTTGGACAATCACTCACACTACATGGAATATGGCCCATTTCATATGCAAACGGTGAAAAGTTATATAGGGTTTTTCGCGTCGCTGATAACCGATCATACACTCAGATTCCCGACATTTAAGATGGCGAATCCAATATGGCCGAACGGAACCCGTAAAAATCCAAATTATTCCAAGGTAACTTGTTTTTACTCGACATGCATTTGAACTCTTCAAAGCTATGAAATCGGATCAAAATATGGAAATAATAGAAAATACGAAATGTTAATTTTTACAATCAAAATTCAAAATGGCAAATTTTACAGTTTTACGACCATAGTGGGTCCGCAACCTTGAATTTCGGGAATCTGAGTGTATATTTGTAATTAGCGACCCCCAAAATCCCTGTATATGTATAATTTTTTACCGAAAAAAATTTTTTAAATTTTTGTTCGCTATATTGGTCTCCTCTTTTGAATGTTATATATGTATATGTATATATATAAGTATGGAAAATATATTCTTTAAATAATTTTACATATTAATGATATTTTGATTTTTGACGATTCACAGTCCGTAGATTGCTGAAGACCTATAATGGGTTAATTTATTCAATTATAGGAAAGACTAAAAATATTAATTTGTGATTATGTATTGTACATGATTACAATACATTAAGGAATTATATCTATAACCAATTGTGTACTTCCGTGTTCGTATAAGAAAGCATTTGAAACATGCAAATTTTTTCTACTGATTGCTTTTATTATACAAATAGAATTTTAAAATATCCAGTGATGAAGTGACGTGCGTCATTTTGTCGTGAATAGTCAATAAGCTTAGGTTATTATGTAAATGATAATGAAATCAAGAATTTTCAAGTGTTGACCTAATATATTAACCCTGATGTATTATTAAGTAGTCTATCGCAATGTTAATTAAATTCTTAGAAGTCATCGTACAAAGTTTAAAAGATTTAGGTCTACAAATAAAACAGTAAAAACTAGCCGAAGAAAATTGTAAGTTTGTTCAAACCGTACCAATATCGTTATGCAGCTTCATTAGGGTCTCCTTAATGGTCCACGGTCAATTGGGACCGTAGTCAAATACAATGTGATCAATTGGAATCGTGGTCAAATGCGACCATATAGTCAGCTGGAATCATGCCCATTTGTGTTTGTTACTATCTGCGCATACGCAGTCCACAAATGCCCATAAGTAAATCTGAATTAACTGCGTGTGAATGTGTGAGTGTGTATAAGTGTATGTCATTGTAAAAACGGTCGATTATACATATATAGAGTAACAAAGTGTGTGCGCGCGCGCGTGTGTGCGTGTGCAAGTTATGTTTGTATAATTTGAATAGCACTACACTATTTGTAATTTAATTATTGCATCTATTGAAAAAATGCCCAAAGAGCGAAATTAGAGTAATAATAATTTGCCAATTACAGCGTACAGATTTCGTAAATATATAAAACATACATATGATACTTTATTCTCTCCCTTAAGAAAGGAAAAGGGAGAACAATATTTTAAAATGAACTTGCACTATTTCCAAAAAAGGATTGAATTTTCCATATATAACATTAAAATAATTACTACACTACAAAAACTATTTTAAGCAATGCGACAACATTAGTTTTATTAAAAAGAGCTATATTTTCAGAGAGAAATAGCCCTGAAGCAGATATTTAAATTTGTAGCTTGCAAAGTTGTACGATAATAATTATTTAGTACAATTTTATGTTTCTTTTTATAAATTCGTTATAATTCTTTTCATGATTTCCTTCCTTTCTATCTCTATTATTTTTATAATTAAACTGAACTGAATTCGAACTTAAACTATTACGCTGTTTTATTATGTTTGTACATGCAGATACATTTGTCGATTTGTCACTTTATTCTGTACATATATAGTCTACACATTCTTCACACACATTCGCCAAAGCGCGTAAAAAGCTTTGTGTCTGACAGTAGATCGATGCGTTCTAAAAATGATTTACGAGTATTTGCCAAATCGAGATTAATAGTATTTGCAGAAAATGGATCAACCCCTCGATGGGCATCTTCTTGCATCCAAATTTGTATCAAACATGCTTTTGTTAGTGCCTTAAATAATCCGAAATGTTAAAAAACAACTCCGTTTACAAAATAATTTCAATTCCGCAAAGCGAATGAATAAGGCTTGGAAAAAAAACCTTTAAGAGAAAATAAACTCTTCTCCGAAAATTTATTTAATTTTAAATCCTACTGAAAATCTTACAACGTATGTATTAATTATATGAATTGAGTGCTTTAATTTATAAAATATGAACTCTCTATTATGTAATATTCTTCCTCTATAAAAAAGGCATGAAACGTCCGGAGTGCGTTCTCGGCCGCGCTCGTATTGTTGCCGCTTTTCCGCGATGCCGATTGACCGTTGCGAGTCTCGTCGGTCAAGGTGTGTCGCATTACAAATTGCGAACCTGGTTTCAGAAAACTTTGTATCTTTATCTTCTTTCCATAATTTATGTACATTATGCAAGCTTTTAATAAGAATGGTTATTGTTGATTTCAGGCGCTACTCTTACGTTTGAAGTCGAGCTCATGAATATTAGCGATTCGCCCCCAACCGCCAACGTCTTTAAGGAAATCGATGCCGACAAAGACAACCAATTGTCTCGCGAGGAGGTGAGAGCAATGGCAAGATCACTTTAAGTTTTTATTGGGGCCATTTGTGGTGCTGGTCGTAGAAAAATAGTGCTATAAACATCTCGTTACACAAGCTGTTTGTTTTTGTAACCACGGCCAAGAGTAATACGATGTTAATACAATTTATTTTTATTCTAAACCCTTTCGGATAGAGTCGTATAGTATTATTATATCTAAACACTTTCCTACTTTTATATGTCAGGTATATAACACAAAATAGTCTTGTAGTCATGTAATGCCTATTACACCTCGACAATTAAAAATCCAAATTTTCATATTGAAACTGAGGAATAAATTTTTAAAATATTGTTTAATAACAGGCAAAAGAAGATTTATTTTGCGGCGCAGAAATACTTTAGCAGCGGGTTAATGCGCCTATCATAAGATATGCGTAATAATAATCTTTAAATATTCCACTAAATTAAAAACTTAACAACATCAATTTTATTGACCAACAATAAATTTATACACTGTGGACAGTCACGTCACTTTCTGTGTATTTATTTTAGTTAAACGGCACGTGGTGAATTTTTCTGTTTGCAGGTGAGCGACTACTTGCGAAAACAGGTGATAGAAGCCGAGCAAGCTGGCGCTAATGAAAATGAAGACGTGAAGAAAATGCTAGCCGATCACGACAAGCTCGTGGAGGAGATCTTCCAGCATGAGGATAAGGACAAGAATGGCTTCATCTCCCACGACGAGTTCAGTGGGCCGAAGCATGATGAGCTCTGAAGTCTTCGTCCCTCATCGTCGCGTCTCCGAGCGCCCGTTGTCGACGTCGTCGTTGCCTCAGTCGTCGACGACATCGACGCGCCCCGCGCCACCACGTGTTCACCTCTATATAAAATCACCTCTTCGAGTCCCCTCTCGGGCGTTCCCGGAGGATCCACTGATCGATCGTGCCGAGTACACACGTGCTCGAACTCGCAAAACCAAGCGAAGTTATCAGCAAACGTTTCTGATACAGCGCCACTGATACTGGCATCAAAGGGATACGCTCTTCGGGAATCTCCGGCGCGTCGAGTCATATTTGTGTCCTCGATCGCAGGAAACTTGCAGGAGTAGGTGGACATTTTTGATTAACAACGAAGTTCGAAAATCCGTAAAGTAAAACTCTTCCCTGAAAAATTCGGAAAGAAAGTCTCTGGCAGGTTTGAGAACTATTTGCCGGTCCTAAGTAGCTTCAAGGGATTTCCTAATTTTTTATAATCCAGATGTTCTGAAGGATACAACTCCACTCGTTCGGAATCACGATTGCATCCCGTGAGCCATCTCAAACGCCCATTATTCGAAAACCTGCAGGGGGAATCTCAACTGATTTCCGGCGTGACCGCCTTCTCACCCTGGCACTTCTTGTTAGGAAGTTCTATAATCTTTGTCGCTCAATAATATGCTTGTTTAGGGTATTGGTTTTTATCATACAATCTCATTTTGAAGACCTTTATAACAATACAATTATTTCCGCAGTTATTTAATTTCTGTAGTTGGCTTATGTGTTGAGCAGAATTGTCATTTGTTTACCAAACAAAATTTCTGATAAAAACAACCTTCTCGTTGCCTGGTAAATCGTGAAAAATGTATATATAAAACCGATGGTCCTTAAACTACTAATATAAATTCCGGTTTTCTCTTTTACTATTTTCAATCGCTCTGAAAGTCTGCAGAGCTTCACAAAGATCCGTAGCGAAATTTTCGTGGATATTCCTAGGCAGGAAACATTCCGGCGCAACGACGTCATTGTACATTTTAATGCGATATAACAAAAAAAAATACACGGATGTCTGCTCGAATGATTGCACTGTAGTGGCGTGAAGTGAGAGGCTGTGTATGTTTCGCGCTATATATATATATATATATATATATTATATATAAAAATATAAAGAGAGAGATTGTGATGATAGAGCGAGATGAAGGTGTGACGGTAAGAATGTTTTTTCTACATGATTATAAATGTTAGCGTAACTAAAAGGCATCGACGTATGGTGCTGAAAATCACACGCATTCTGTCCTACTCTCAAAGCTTCCACCGACCTGTCCCCAGTCATAACGATCCCTTGCTCGAGAGTCGCGTGCGCGCGATATTCACGTAGGAGACAAGAAGAGGATGACGAAGAAATGGAGGAAGAGGTAATATCCCGAGGATGCGTAGTGGAGATGAATATGGTCGCTCTTACGCGAGCATCCCCCTATCGTCGCATTATTACATTTTAACTGATACGTTTTTATTACTACATTATATTGTATGTTGTTAAAGTTGGATGATGGTTAATAATAAATCGTGTGTCTCGAGCACAGTTTGTTATATAACTACCTCTTTCAATTTCTGCATCCCTCTCTGAAAGTTTACTCGCCGCAGTTGTAAAATGCAACGAGGTCTTTCGTAGAAATGCCATGAAATCTTTCTAAACGTATAACTGCCACAATTAGCGTTTCGTGCATGATGCACCCCTTACCTTTAATTTTTTCTTTTGAATGATTTTTAGAAATAATGCTAACCATTTTTATTAGTTACTAAAAGTGTTTATGAACACAGAAGTAAAATACTTAGTGCATAAAAAGTTATATTTCTAATTAATCATTTACTTTTTGCGCAAACAAGAAATTGAAAAGCTAAGTAAGTTTAAAATCTCAAATTTCAAAGAGCATCCAGACACTTCTTTTGAAAATTAATTCTCTATTATAATCGCCTAATAATTATATTCATCTTTTATTATTCCATATTTGATCATTGTGTATAAACTTAATATTAAACTTACCTTTTGCATTGTAGAAAATAAACTTCTGAAAACCTGAGGACTATTCAATTTTGAAATAAGTTGTCTTCCACTGAGGAAGAGGAAAAATATTCTAAAGGAAGGAGAGGAATCACATAATCGTGTCTATTTTTATAATTGCTTCTCCTTTTATTTAAAGAATTATTTCCACGGAAAGTTACAATGATTGCGATTATGCGTTTCTACGAAACGCAATAATGAAATGATAATTAAAATAATTAAGTTGCTAGGCAGATTAATGTCATCCGGTATATATCGGTATATTTGCTAATCGACAGGAATCATTCTAGAATATATTTACTTCGTAATGGCTTCGTTGTAAATGAACTGACGCGAGCAAAAGCGTCGATTACTTAGGCAGTCGGTCTGAAAAATCGGTCGATTCTAAAAATTCGTCGAGGCACATGCTGTTACATATGATTGTCGGAGTCGACCCTGTCGTCCGTGATTCGAATAAATCTTTCGAGAGAAAACGAGTACGATACGTAAAATGTATATAAGATACGTAAATAACGCACGTAAATAACTTTCAAAGAGACAAAAGGAAACGCAGTCCCACGTAGTCGCGATGTCTCGAAACGTTCAGAAATTTCTACATGGAATAAGGAAAATTTTGTAAACCAGAAAAATGCTTACAGAAGAGCCTAACACAAAAGAAAATCTCTCTATGAGGAAACTCCTATGTAATAATTCCTAATACGCATGCGAGATATTCTCTCTCGTACGCAACAACATGTCACTTCACTTGAACATTCGCTTAAGCCTAAATCACCGATTAATATTTGTCTAATTCGCGACAAAATTATATTATTTTTTTTTTCTGCTTTTCTATTGCTCATACTTATTATCCCATCTCAGCAACTCGACAGGTGCACATACGAAGTGCACATGGGGCTTCACGCAAATATCGAATTTGGCGAACGTCAGCAACGTGTCCCGGCGTCGATCGTGGTGCCGTCCGATCTCGGAAAGTCCTGGTGATAGCGGGAGGACAGGATCCTATAGTCGAAGATCTACGACGAAGATCGCAGTGTTTTCACCGAGCTTCCACCGTTCCGCCCTTTCCCAATATCGACGTCTCGCTCTTTCTTCGTCTCGTTTCGTGAGAGCATGTCGTGGCCTTCGAGTATTATCACAGTCAATAGCCCTTGATGTAGGCGGCGATGTGCTTCTTCTCCTCTTCCGAGAGACCGTTCTTCAGCGTTCTACGCACTGAAAAAAAAGTGCAACATAGCAGCTTGCGCAGATAATATTCTTTACTTTGTTGTAAGTAAAGTTGCTTAACACTCGCACGATAACATTAAAACAAATCAAAATTTTATTATATTTTGCCGAGTTCTCCAAAGCAAGTGTGAAAGTTTAAATATTTGAAATTACTCTTGTACTTGATACAGGCACTTTTGCTGAAAATTTCTCAAATCGCGTACCGAAAAACTTTACGATTAGAAAAATTAAGATGAGAAAACGATAAGTGATGTGAATGTTTGACGAGCAAGTAAGGCATTTGTACTTTGACGTGACGTTTAAAATTTCGTCGATTATCGAGGTTTATCAATCGCGGAAATGCTTGACATTTCTGGCATCGAATGCCGATCGCCGGTCCCGAGAAATGACGTAGCGTCGTAAACACCTCGGTTGAAAACAGTCTATTGTCATTGTGCCAAATCATTCACGCGGCGACAATCGAACGGGTCAGTTAGCGGCCCGCGCCGCTCGGTATATCGTAATATATTATTCTTTCTTGATACGCGTTCGCGACAAGTACGGAAAGAAGCCGCGATCGCTCTCTCTAAACAATCAGCGATCGATATCATCGGGTGATCGCTGAATCCTCGTGATTCGCTATCGATGCTCGGTTAACCGGCAAGACAGATGTCTCGCGCGATTCACGCACAAAATCTGTACGTCAGAAAATCAAAGCGCCAGCTAAAAGTTACTTTTTCATAGCGGTAACAACGGACGATAATTGTTTCTTTAAACGATGTTCGTATTTATTATATTTGGATACGAGTACATCTCGTATCGTCGCATTGAATCTCCTGCTTCATGCTGCTCTGTAGTTGCAAAGATTTAGTTTCCTTTTTATTCTCACAGCCAAGATTGATCTTTGCGAAAGCTTCATCGCGGAATTTCATATACACTGTGTAATACATAATAACGTAATAAATCAATCGTTATTTTATCCCTTACGAAAAAGTAACGAAATAATTACTAGAAAATAACTGTATATTAAACTATCAAAAATTACTGATGTACTTTTCTAATAATTATTTCGTTGCTTTTTCGTAAGAAATTAGCGAGACTTACTAATGAGTCCGCAAAGTGATACGCAAAGTGTACAGTAACAGTCACTGAACGAGGTAATGTGAAACACCAGGTATAAAATTTTCAACTTACATTTCATATTTTTCGTAGGCAGAACAACGAACTTCCAACGTTTATTTTTGTTTTTCTAGCTGCGCGGTATCGTGCGACGTTACGCGGGCTACTGTTTACGTGAAGGTCGCCGTGCTATCATTCGCTCGCCGAGCCTCGAGCCGGCAGCCGCGCGAGTCGATCCGTGCGTCGTATTACTTTTGCGTTATCAGTTTCCGAGACGCGATCGCGATGAGCGTGAGATTGAAATACCATTAATTTGTACCCGTTTATCAGTAACAAATAATGTTCGTTGATAAATTATTACAAGATTCTACAATCTGTAACGAGAAACGATTTGCAAAATGTAAACCGTGGTACTTTGGCGCGATTACATCTCGTTTACGCATTGCGCGTTGAATTATCTGTCGATTTCAATTGAGAGAAATTTGTTGCTGCATGTACGGCTTTGTGTTTGCTGAAATTCGTTCCGTCGTATTTCATGGCTTGAACAATCTTATAAGCAAGAAGTAGAGAAAATCGCTTATTGCACGTCGGTACGTCTCGAAATTATCTCAATCAATTGTTACAATTAAACAGCTTTTCATCGACTTTCATGTACGCTTCGCAGTTTATTTCGCGTATAAATTTGATTAAAATTCTATTGTTTACGGATTAACACCTACTTCCCCACATAGCACAAGACGTCCATCGGACGTCTGAATTATGTCCGTTTTATGTCGGTACGTCCGTGGACATGTTATGAACGTCCTAACGACGTCCATTTGTGGATATTCATGGGACGTTCATCAAAGGACGTCCTTAAGATGTCCAAAACATATCCATTTTATATCTGACTTCTATGGGCGAATTATGGATGTCCAATGTACGTCCTATTTGGGACATCCGTCGGATGTTCGCTACAGGATATTCAATGGATCCAAATCACATCCGTTTTACGTTAATATACATCTGCGATATTTGGTAGATCGACACACAAATTGAATGTGTGAAATCGTAATTTTTGTTGGTGCGTTCCGTTATTCACTGTGAGTACTGACGCTATGATGTCACAGAAGTGTCCTTCCGTTTTAGTTTCGTGCGCTTTCAAACTGCTACAAGGTTTTAACACGGAAACGGAACGCATCACAGTATGCTTCCAGCAGTTTCTATTTGTTTACGTTTCTAATTTTTGTTAAAAATGAGTGAGGTGTCTAATATAAATAAAAATATGATTGCATTAATTGCATACCAAAGAAACTACACATATCTACTTAAAAATTTTGTTAGTATTGAAACTATAAGTATTTAATAAAACATAACTCAAAATACACTCGTTCATTTGCCGAGTAAAATAATTTATTTTATCCTTATATCGCACCATTTACCTTGTAACAAATATCAGATCTGTGAGGATTTGCAAGTTCAAGATCAACGATTGTGTATATTTGATCTTTTTAAACCTTTAGTTTAAGTTTAAAGCAGTTTAAGGCCCGTATTCATAGTCGTTCCTCAATTCTCGAGATCAGTCTGTCTTTGTCTCGTGTCGCGTATGGAAAAACGTAGTAGGCGAGACAAAGACAGACTGATCTTGAGAATTGAATAACGACTATCAATACGGGCTTTTAATTATCCGGATTGTCCTGTATTTTCGTTTACCGAATGTTCATAAGACATTCGAATTCAACGTCCAATGGAGGTACTGTATTTTCGTCCATCAAAAGTCCATTAGACGTCCGAAGGACATCCGACTGGTCCGACACGGATGTCCGTGGGATATCCTTATTTGTTTACCGGATGTCCATAAGACGTCTTATGGACGTAAATAGGCCGGACATTTGGACATAATATGGACGTCCCATGGACAGTCAACGGACGAATACGGACATCCTACGGATATCCATGTCGGACCAATCGGACGTCCTTCGGACGTTCAATAGACGTCCCTGTGCTATGTGGGTCTTTACCGCAGATGCATAGCTTTTGATACTCGCGTTGCATTTTATACCATCAAATTAAAAGTGATTTGTCCATTACTACTTTCGAAACAAAAATGCAAGATGACATGTGTGTTGCCGGTTTGAATGATTTGCGCGACGGAAACTTATATACAGTTAATAATTGGTACATTTTACGGTATTTCACGTCACGTACGGGAGTGCCGCGCAAAATTTCGCG